CCATCAAATACAAATGTGCCATTTAAGCAAAATATAATTAAAGCAGTGTATTTACCACTTATAGAAATGAAGTAAGATACTGTAACAGCCTTGTTTTATCTTACTTTACTCTAGGGTTGCCAGGTACCCTCGTTGCTCCTGCGGGGGGATTTGGGGGGCATTCTGGGATTGAACGGGGATGTTCTGCAACATCCCTGAAGTGATGATGCCACCTGGAAGTGACGTCATTGCGTTTGGGACATCACAAGGAGACACTATGGTATTTGGGGAAAACTCTATGGGGGTTTTTGCCCTCAAACTATAGAGTTTGCCCAAATACAGAATGTTCCTGCACAACAGCATAACTTCTGGGTGATGCAATCGTGTCAGGGACATTGCATGGTGGCACCCCTGTTTAGGGGCAGAGTTTCCCCCACTGGCCAGCTGGTCCATGGCAGGGAGAAGCCCCTGAAATCGAGGAGGTCCCCTGCCCAGACCTGGGGGCTGACAAGCCTACTTTACTCCCCAACATCACATGAGGGAAGCAGCCTCTGGAAGGTACAGAGGGAAGATGGGGCTATCTTGCTTGGCATGTGATGGCTTGGCTGAGTCTGCATCTGTCTCATTGTAAGCTATGGCATCAACAAAAGGACCTATATGGGTGAGGGAGGGTGAGGGAGGGGATCAGCAGTGATAAACCAGCTGGGTGGTCTGTCCTCCTTACTGTGACTCTTTCGTGTAGGAATGGACATGCTTCCCTTAAACATATAAACTTGACTTGTGCAAGCACCAGTAAGGGCTACCAGATGGCAATCAGAATTTTTCAGATTAACTGAAGAATTTACATTACCATCTAAGACTGATGCTGATTAAGAAAGTTTTCAAGTGCCAGATAACACAGCTTGTATGTCAATAAGGAGTTCTAGGTTACTTCTACGGAGCAGCTTATTATGTGCCCTGGATGCATCCCATGGATCCTATCAAATTTCTCTACCCATACAAAGAAAGGATGCCCAGCAGCTAAAACTCTCTTGTATTACAGGAAAGCAATGTTCTCTTATTCCTGGCTTTAATGGTGCAGAAGACTGAGGCAAATGCTGGTCCCTCTTACATTCAATTTCTTAAAAATTTCCCATTAGAGCACAGTTTTTGATTCAGGTGCAGGTGGAAGAAGAATTAGTATTTGGTCACAGAGGTGAAACTGCTAGCAACACTGTTTTGGCTAAAAAACTCTGTATTCCTGCAAAATCTCTGGAGTCCAAAGGATGAAATTGCTTGGCTAATGGGAGCTGCAATTTCCCACTCACCTGCTCAGTGGGGGCAAGTAATGATTGCTCTCAGGAGAACAAATAGCAATACTCATCTCCTTTCACCACTTTATTTTCTTATGCACTTCAAAATTATGGCAAACAAACAAAAAGTACAACTAAAATTATCCTGTATTATAGGAAATGCATGCTCTCTTTTTTCTCTCTGAGTCTTAAAGTACAGAAGAATGAGTGCGCACAATGGTCACTCAGCTGAATAGAACCAAGAAGGTATGGTCTGTGTACATTTATTTAAGTCTTAAACACAATATTAACGACTTCTATCCAAAATTCAAGAAATAGAATGATATACATTAAAGCTTCTATGACTTTGAAAAATAAATCTGAATATTCTAATATTCTCTAGGCTTAACATGTATACCAAGAGAAAAAAGCAGACAGCAATTTGTATTTAAGGAAGATTAAATACATTTAGTTAATAACCTTGCTGACAACTGTTTCACAGAAACAGGGAACATTTTACAACATGGCAACAAACATGGAGGCATGTCTGTCATTAAATTAGGCCCACATTTTTTGCCAATTCACCTATTTCTCTTCAATTTTAGAAAATACATGCATTGTTTTAGTTAAAATGTTAACAAAATATGATAGTTGGGGCACAATACATCAACAATAACTACAGCATCAGAAGTTAGTTGATAATATACACTATATAATACACACACGTCTGAACAAGCCAAATATACATTATTGTGATCCCACAATGCAACATGAAGAGTACTGTCCCACCTTCAAATTGACATTCTTGATTTTATGGAATATGTGGCCATAACCATTTAATATTATTTGCCCTACTGGCTTTCTTGTGCCTGAAATGCTGCTCTGCTAAATTTCTGTATTACAAGCCGGGAACATGACCCCAACAAAAGTAATTTTGATAATGGCACCATTTGTGCAGTTGAAACCATCCTTTCATGTGCTGTTCAGCATATCACACTTCTGAAGAGGCAAGCCATTTTTAAGCTGACGAGCACCTTCCCGGTGTAATCTGACATGGTAATTGGATGTGTTGTCCAGCATTTCAGTGTCTTGGAATAAGATACTGTGTCCTTAAAACACTGAAATGCTGGACAACACATCCAATTACCATGTCAGATTAAACAGGGAAGCCACTGAAATTCATAAACACAATTTGAACAAGAAAGAAGAGAGTTTAAAAATAAACACAAAATGCTCTACATTTTACAGCAGCACTACAGATAAGATTAGAATTTCAACAGCCAATCCATATGCTAAAGAACCTCCTGAGGAAAAGCTCCTCCATTAGCATGTCACAGCCTAGGAAACTCCTACAAGATAATTACTCAGCCCTACCCCACCTTCCTGAGTAGATATAAATTATCTGCCTACCATTCTTCTTCTCACATTGACAGAGAGAGTACTCCAACTTTCTGTGTTATACCTCTCAGGATGCCAGTCACAGCTGCTGGTGAAACGTCAGTTATTACAATGCCAATACCATGGCCATACAGCCCGGAAAATCTACAACTAATGAACTCCGGCCGTTAAAGCCTTCGACAACATATTAACATCAGTCTGCTTGCATATAAAAATACAGCCCATAATCCAAACATGTACATCTGCCAGTGCTACTAAACTTTTTCAAGCAATCCCTTTTCTGCCTTCTATTTCAACCTCCCTGCATCCACCATATGTTCATAGTCTCTGTACCTTCCCTTCTCTCAAGGCACTCTCTCTTATGAAACCTGTATTATTGTGCTTCTGTAGCAATCCCTTCCCCTATGGTTTCCAAAGTGCCAGCTAGGAAAAAACAAAGGGAAAAGTATTCTATATACTTGCAACTGTTAAGAGAGATTATAGAATATTACTTCAATATGGCTGTCTTCATAATATAATGCTGGTTAACAGGACCACGTACACTGAAGACATCTGAATCATTATTATACACATGCAAGTCTCAGGGCTTACAAACACCCAGTAGAACTTTTGATCCAGTGCAGCTCTCCTTTTAGCAGCTGTTCCTGCCAACTCTGCCTCATTTATATTGAATTTATGAAACATATTATGTTTATGAAACTTCCTTAAGTTTCAAAAATAATATGATGCCCACAGAATCCGGTGCGTAACCCTGTCGGTCTGAAGCAGCAGAACGAAGTTTGAGTCAGACACAATGAAATGAAACCCACCAGTCCACACACACAGAGATAGAAGGTAAGCAGCAAATTAGCATACTGAAGATGTTTAACAGATTCAACGAATAACAAGCATCGTTTATATGGTACCATTTGTTTGGGTTCAACTCTGAGGGAGAAAAACATAGTTAAGGCAATAAATACGTTGAATTGGAGACTGATGGGCAGAATGTATGATGTCCAGTACAGGCACTGCTGTTTGAAAAAAGGAAAAAAACAAAAACTCAAGAGCCTCCCTGAACTAATATAATTACTCCAACAGCTGTGGATCCTGGTCTTACCATCTATGATACAAACCTATTTGAGAAAGTTGTTACAATCCAACTTCAAATTCTCAAATTTAATTTCTTGATACATAATAAAATAATTTTCAGAAGTTATTGTCATGTATGTTTTTCACAAGCTTCATTTTTAAAACACAGCTGATATGACCTTTACTCTGAGCACTGCTATTCTTATAAGATGTATTTCTACATAAGAGAAAGCAAATTAATTATGGACTTACTAATTTACAGATTGAGGCTTTATATTCCTTTAAATAACTTCATTGTTTTCTTATCAGATTAAAACAAATATGAAATGCTACTTTTTTATTAAAGGAGATTGAAAACTTACCTGCATGCTTTTAGGACCTCTGCAGAACTGGGATAAATAGATACCGACATTGATGGTATGATCTGAGAATTAGGCTTGTGACCAATAAGAGGAGGATCAGTTTTAATGGGGCTCTGAGAGTCCTCCAATGCATCTCCATTAACTGCATGTCCACTATGAGGGCTGTTAAGGCTGGTAACACTGTTTGTGGTAGTCTGTTCAGTAGATTTTGGAGAAGGTGTTGCTGTGGAAATGGCTGAAGATGGTGAGGAGGCAACAGAATTCTCAGTCTTTGTATGAACAGTTGGATGAATGTTATTGACTTTGTCACAGGTTCCAGTACCCACATTGTTATTGGCTTTTCCCATCAACAAGGCAGAGAGCTGAGGATTGTCTGAACTAAGTAAACCTGGTGACTTAGAATCTCCATGGCTAGGGCTAGAAACAGCATCTGCCGTCACCTGATGGACATGATTAGGAAGTCCTTCTACACTGGCAGTGCTGTTAGGTGTCTCTCCAGAATGCCTGTTTGTGTCAGGCACTGCTGATGTGTTTCCTGAAGGCTTGCTCTCTTTGGTTAAGGTAATGCCTTGTTGTCCACCTGAGGTAGCAGTGTGAGAGGGGAGGTGATTGAGAGCAGCCCCCTGTGTTACTGAATTGCTAGGCATGGTAGGGTGTCCATTCTGATTCTGAATACCAGTGCCAGCTGCCTGGAGATGCTGGGAAGGCCCAGTGGAAGAGAGAGGTCGTTCACTATTAGGACCTGCCAAATGTGAACTCTGACCTTTGTGAAGCCCCTAAGAGAAGAAAAAATGAGCAAAATGTTGTTTTATTTAAATATCTGCACATAAATGTATACTTCATATGCTGCATTTTCTTGACTGAATGCAAAGTAGACATACACACAGAAACACAGGGTAATAGGGAGCTTCAGCATCTTAGACATCAATTGTTATTAGTACTTTTACACTTAACACTAATTTTAGGTATATACACAGAAAATATATTTTATTTTATTTTTATATTTATACCCCGCCCTCCCTGCAAGCGGGCTCAGGTTGATCAAGAGCTTAAGGGAGAACATACAACCTCCAATCAGTTCTTCACACTTTAAAATTTCAGTTAAATATTCTCCACATTAATTCTGTGAATGTCAGGAGATACTCCCCAGCCATCAGCTCACAGAAGCCCTACAGAGTCACAGCACTAACTGCACTATGTCGCATTCTGAGAAAGTACTAGGGCCAAAACACTTGTGCATGGATTAAAAAACTCAACACTGTGTTGAGAGGGGAATCTTGGTAGTGACCAAGCACAGCCCCTGTCATTGGCAACAGGAGCAGCCGCCACAGAGACCTTGGGGCTCTTCCGCATTCTCATTTTTGTCACTCATTCGTTCCTATTGCTTTGTGGTCCCCCTCCCTTTTCCACATGTGTTTTGCCCCCCCCCCCCCCCCCCCCCCCCACAACAAGAGAGAAAAACACACACC